ATATATATATATATATATATATAATGTATATATATTGTTTGCGCACTGGAATAGAAAATATCGGAAACAAACGCCCGGGAGAAAGAAGAAGCGACTGGAAGAGAGGCTGAGTGATAGAGCTCCCACGCAAACAGAGAGACTGATATGGAAACAACAACAGTGGCAGGTGTCACGGGGGAGAATATTCGGAAACTGCAGGGGAACAATATCCATGAAAATGCAATATGACGCACATGCGTCAGATTGAGACGGGGCAAGGAAGAAGAGGAGGCGGAGAGCCTGCATTCCCGTCTTCGTTCCAGACGTTGGGCTGCTCCCTGTCTGCAGGCTGTCTAGCCGTTGTTTTGTGCATCTGCAGGTGGTTCCTTGTCGGTATCTACTCTTTTAAATAGAAGGAGATATGCCTGGCGGCTGTCGCAGCTCTGCAACTTCGTCACTTTCTCATCATTGTACTGCAGCCAGCCACTCCCGTCTTTGTTACGCACGTGGCAGATGTAATGGCCCCCAGAGACGCTCGACCCCAGATGAGAAACAAACGCAAACAAGCGATACTTCCCACGCCCATCTCCCAAACCCAACCGACATCGCTCCAAAGGCGACAGCCCTGCCGCTGCAGCTTCCAGGGCCTGCTTCTCCCTAGCGTCTGCCTCCCGAGCTTCCGCCTCGGCTGCCGCAGCGGCCGAAGCAGCTGCTGCAGCTGTAAGGGTTTCCTCCACTGCAGTAGCAAGCCCCGCGCCCTGAGTTAGCAGCCAATCAGCAGCACGGCCAGCATCAAAGAGCCCCGAATCTGTAGGGACCCCGCCCGAAGTTGTCTGTCCCCTAGTCGCGAAGAACGCTGCGCGTACACTCCGCTCATCGAAACCCAGAGCCATTAGATTAGCCACGGCTTCTGCATCCGGTTGGTCCTGCGCACCCGGTGCTGCTGCGGTTCCCGATACCTCTGCTGTTCCTGATGCAGGAGCAGCGGCATCAATAATAGGATCATTGAGGTCCGGGTCGTCCAAGTGGCCCATCAGCCACTCAACGCAGCTCTCAGCTGCAGCGCCTCCAGTAGCACGAACAGCTCTTCTGCAATTAATCGGAGACACGACAAAAAGACAAACAGTCCACCTTAAGCCCCTTCTGCCTTCCTTAATTACCATTTTCTTGCGGCGTATGAGTTCGAGAGGTTCCACCGCTATCTCTAGCATTTTGCTTCGGCACTAGCTCTGTGTCTGTCTACGAACACCTCTGTTCGACTTGTCCCGTATTACCCTTCCCTATTGTTCTGTCTGCCCCCTCTCTACATGCCACCTGCATGCCTCTTCCCTCGTCGTAATGCTTATATGCTTGTGTCCTTGTCGCTCTATGCACGGATTACTGCCTGCTTATCTATCTCTTACTTAGCGGCGTTGTTAGAGAACCCCATTGACTCCAACGTAGAGACAACTTCGTCGTTTGCTGCATCTCCAGATGCTGCCTCAGACCTGTTGCCCTGCTGCTGCTGCTGCAGCCGAGGCTGTGGCGGCTCGTCAGGAAGCTCGCGCTCCTCCGGCTGAAGGCCGGAGGCCCGGAGCTCCTCGAACGAGACTTCCTCAGGGATCTGGCCAAGCACCTCACAACCCAAACCCTTGAGGCACATTATATACCTCTCTAACTGCAAGGCGGAATCTCGACTTCCGCTCCCTGTATCGGCCTCAGTGTAGCCCAAAATATGCTGCATACCCCAATCATAAGCCCTAAACTAAACGCTTGACCTTCCCATACCTCGACAGAGCACTTGAGTTTCTTTGGAATCCATCTGTCACTAATGTAGAAGCGCTTGAGGAAGACGAGGAGGTAGTCTGGGTAGTTGGTAAGCCGGAGGGTCTTTTCAGCGTTGCCTTTAGAGCCGGTAGCTGGAGAAAGGTAATCGTTGACTGCCGCAGCTGCTGCTGCTGCTTCTATGCAGCTGGCAAGAGGCACTGAGGGGGCCGCAACAGCCACAGGCTCCTCTGATTCGCAGCGCTGAGTATACACGCGCAAAACCAAGCGCTCTAAGATGCCAGAGCCTACAAGCAGAACGACACACCTGCACTACGATGGAACGGCAAAAACACAACACACGCCGACGCGCAGGTCGGGGTGTAGTTCTTTACAGAAGCACCCAAAAAAACGACAACACCCGAAGAAGGACCGAGATGCACACAAAAGATACACAGCGAAGGACTGAAGGCCAAACCGGGCCAGTGCCTACTGTTTCGGCCGTGTCCCCTCCGGCTTCGGCCCCAGTGTCCGACTCAGTGGGGGTTCCCTCTGCTCCCTTTCTCCTCTTCTGGTGCCGTTGCTGCTGCTGCTGCTCCTCCTCCTCCTCTTGGTGCACATGGACAGGGATTGGCAGCGCCAACACCTGCTGTCGGCTGTACGTGTACCGTACTTGCCGAGACTGGAGGCATTCAAGACGTTGTTCTACCTTCAGTACACATGTGCAAGCGCAGCAACAACCACCACAGAAACCTTAGCAAGAAGACGTGAGGAAGCTCATGTAAGCCACCAGAATCCCGGAAACTGACAGATTAAATTCAAGCAGCAGACGGAGCAGCACAATGTGCTGCTGCGGCAACATTAGTGGTAACAACACGCATATGCAACTGACCCCAAAAGAGAACAGTGAATCAACCGTTCCACTTCCAAGAACGTTTTCTGCTTCTTGTAATGTCTCATCTGTGATCCCCAGCGCAGCAGCAGCGGCAGCAGCGGCAGATCTCTCGCGCGAATGAAGCATTTGTCTGAGCTGCTGGAGCTGTCGTCGGTCTCCTGCTTCTCTGTCGCTGATCCAAGAAAGAAGCAGAGACAAAAACTCTTCTGCAGGCGCAATAACAGCAGCAACTCGCCCGTGGCGTCCCCTTCTGTCAACCTAGGAGACAGCGTAAATGACATCCACAGCAAGTAAGCAGTACGAACAATACAAAACCACCAGCAACAGCAGTAACGGCACCAGCAACCGCAGTAACGGCACCCGCATCCTGTTGACGACTTGTGGCGAATTCCGCATGCAAGGAGCCTATGATGGCGCGCAGTGACAACGGAGACACGGCGTCGTTAGCCATGTAGGGGAGATCTGCAGCACCAGCAATAGCAGCGGCAGCAACAGCACAGCAACAGCATAATGCCGACTGCCACGAACGTAGGTCTCCTGTTCAACAGCACAGGGCAACTTCGGCGCCGCTGAAACTGTTGAGTTGCTAGGCTCTACTAATGCAAAACAACAGGCAACAGGCAGACGTGGTTATACCATGTCCCTTAAATACTAGCAGAAGCCGCGCCACCTGTTGTAAAAGCATACCGTTGATTAGCTGTTGCTCCTCGATTTGGAGATCCTGTTGCTGCAGTGTCTTCTGCAGCAGTATTAACCCCAAGGCCTTCTGCATGCACACTCGCCGAGTCTGCAGTGCCACAGAGAGGGCGCCCAGCTGCAGAGAAAGACACTTCGCCGGACCTCCCGTCGCTGGTACTGCAACTGCCGAAGGCAGGCCTTGGCAACAAATGAGCGGATCGTAAATACACAAGAACTTCTCACAAAAACGAGGCACGCTGAACAAGGCCTACGAGCAAACAGAAGCAACCGCAATCTAGAAAGCCTAACACTAAACATTAGTCACCAAGGAGTCCTTGGCTTTCCGGCTCCTCTCTCTGAAACGCCGCCATCAGCCTACCTGCAGCACGGCGTTAACGTAGCAAGTGTTACCCAGGTTTCTGAGGCCCACAAATCCAGATCCTTTATGATGCTGCTGCTGCTGCTCTGCTGCGGAAGCAGCTAGAGAAGCCCAATCATACTTGCAGTTTAAGTCGATCGCCAACTCATTTGTGCTCCGCTCTGTCTTGCGTAGCTGAAGACACAGCCAGCCAACAGCCGCACCAGCGGTACTCTGGCAACAGCTGTACCACCATGAGCAACAGCTCCGGTCGCACATTCACAGCAACATCGTCAAAAGCAGCAAGACAGGCAACAACAACACCAGCTGCACCAGTCGCTGGCGCCATATCCCCTGTTAACCTTCATCAATCCACCAGCAAGGACATCGCTCCAGCATCAAAACCACCAGGATAAACAGCAGCAACTAACAGTGGTCAGTGAGTTACCTGCTGCGTCTCAATGCCAAACCTCGCAAGGTGTTCTGGCAGCTTAGGGTCGATAACTGTGGTGTCTTCGTCTGGCGCGTAGGAAAACACATCTGCTGAATCAGCAGATATCGTCCCCAGCTTGACAATAAGGGGGTAGATTGAACCTGTCTCCTAACAGCAGACACACGAAGCGAGCCACACCAACAGGTCGGCTTCCAAGTGAGACACAATAGCGAGAGCGCGCCTAACAGCCAAGCAAACGAAAGGACGCTACCGGCCATTCTCAATGCCCACAAAACTGTGCTTGCTGAAAACGGGACAAAGCCAGGCACGGGACCTGGAGATATGAATCATCTCCCCCGAAAGGCACGAAGAGCGAGTGCCAACGACACAAAAGGGAACGGGTGGAGACAGTGGCAGGCACACGAACACAGCCGAGACAAAAAGGGACGACGACAGGGCGGAGACAAAAAAACGTCCCGGAAAACACGAAAGAGACAGTAGCGCAGGAAGGAACCACTCCAACGACAATGCTATAGTACCACAGCACCTTGTAGTGTCTGATGGCTGCTCCCTCGCGCCCGTCCGAGCACCCTCCGCCAGCTCCGTACAGCTTTCGCCCGCAGCCAATGAACCTGCAGCATCAAAACCAGCAAAAGGCACACATGTTTCAAAGGCAGCAGGAACGTTTGAAAACATGAAGTGGAGGAGGCAACAACAACAGTTAACAGCTCCAACACGATATACAAGCGCAAGGCACCTGCCCCTCACCCGTCTGAGAGGTTGAGCCACAGGTTAGTAGAGGCACCGCAGTCTGCACACTTCCAATTAGAAGGAGAGATTTTTGGAGGGTTTTCCACCACGGGCAAATCCTGGGCGTACTTGCTTGGCTGCACGTACACTCCACAAAGCTCATGGGGAGATACAGCGAGCACAAATACACAGGACAGCAGAGCAACCATCAAGGTTGAGCTGAACGCCCCCATAGACATGAAAGAATCTCAAGCAACACCAGAAGCGGCAAACACCAGAAGCCAACCGACGGAAGCACCAGCCCAAGCCTTCGCGACGGATACAGGAGCAGCACCTTCAGTAACACCAAGCCAACTAGCAGCAGGCCAGGTGCGTAGCAGTGGTAGCGGCAGAGAGACAAAGCTTACAAGAATCTCTTCAACCCAGGCGGCAGATGGCGTGGAATCAGCCACAGCATGTTTCGTCTCTGCAAGGTGCTTTGCTGCTGCAGCAACAGTAGCAGGAACGTCCGGGTCGTCAATCGAAAGAAACGACAGTTGCTGCAGCAGCTGTTCCTGATACTGCTGTAGCAGCGTCAGGTCACTCCGCCACTGCTGCTGCTGCTGCTCCTGTCCCTCTTCGTCCACCTCTGCACGTTTTTGCTGCTGTTCTTTGCTACCGCTACAGCGGTATATGGAAGCCAGACCTCTAGCTACAGCAGCAGTTGCAGCTGCGCCTGCGGCGGTGTACACACACAGGCGGTAGGAAATCGTCGGCTCCACCGCAGCGAAGTTGCCAGACGGGTCGATCATGTCACCATCTGCACTAAACCTGCAGCAACAGTAGCAGACGAAGCAGTATTGACAGTCGTTAAAGACGCAAAGTAGCAAAACCATGGGAAGCGCACTAGCATCAACATTCGTAAGGTCAGGAGGACCGGTGGCAGCGGCGGAAGCAGAAATGAAAAGGCAAACGAAACGACGGTAGTAGCAAGAGTAGGAAAAGTACTACCACCAGGAGCAACACAAACCCCCGCAATGGTAGCACAGGAGATATCAACAACACAAAGAGAGCCGATTACGTTTCGCGTGTCCCTGCTGCGGTCAGATAGCACCAGCACCTGCCAGCGAAGTAGGAGATGAAACTGCCATTGCAACAACTCGCATGGGGAGGCCAGCAGTAGCAATAAGCGGCACACGCACCCGCCTTCGACAGCAATTGCCATTTTGGTTGGTTTCAACGTCCCCACCGAAGCACTGCTGTCTGAAGTCGATTCATCTTGTGCTTGTTTCCGTCTGTTGTTTGCTGTCACTGCGTTCACTTCATGGACGCTGGAACGTAGATGCACATAAACTCGGGAATCGCTAAGGGCAGAATCTGTAGGGAGCGACTCTAGCGAGACGGACACGAATGTCTTCAAGTTAATAAAGAGACCGAAAGGCCCGTGCACCATATCCAGCCTGCCAGGGACGAACAACCAGGGAACAACAAAAAAAGAGAAGATGAACCATCAGCGAAAGAACGAATAATCAACGGAGATGGAATGATAAACAAAGGCAGACAAGGAGACACGGAGACAGGCCGAGGAGCTCATGGAAGCAGAAGCAGACAGCAGCACAAAAAGGGAAGCACCAAAAATGGGCAGTCATTCAAGCACAGAATCAAAGAAAACGGCAAACACTGAAGGGGAGACGCAAACCGAGACTGGGGGCGGTGAGTCACGAACAACGACCGGGAGACCAATGTAATCGGGGACAGAGACAGTAAGGGCTCAAGTAAGGGCAGCTAGGCACCCTTTATCAGAGTGCCTTTACGAAGACACTCTGATATTCGACGGAAGATCCACAAGAAAACCACAGCCAGATAGAAGAAAAAACGTAATCGGCTACTTGCAGCAGCATTCCTGCTGCTGCTATTGTTCCTACAAACCACTGGTGTTACTGCTGCCACATAACAAGAGAATCTACTCCATCTCTTGCTCGTGTTGGCATTGCTCCTTCTGGTGTTGTTTTCTTATGTTTGCTGCCCTTGAACGTACGAGTAGTCGCTGCACTGTTTGTTTATCTTCCCTGAAGCCCGGATTGCTGCTGGTGCTTCTGCTGCTTGTTGCAGCACAGCAAGCGCCGCAGCGCGTTGTTCCCCTTGTGCCAATTTCATATCCATTTTCCGCTGTTGCTGTTGCTGCAGCGGCCAGGCAGCAGAATCGCCGCTGCTGCTGCTAGTGCCACGGCTACCAGGGCCGCCGACTGCTGCCGTTGCCGCTGCCGTACTATTGCTGCTGAGCGCACGCACAGGGAAGATAAATTAAAGGTCAGTGCAGCAGCGACAGCAAACGGTGCAGGACAGAAACTGCTACAACTACCCCAGCCGCGAAGTGTGTCAGTGAAGGGTTCGGTACCTAAAGGCTGTTTTGGGGCCGTCTTGTCGTTTAATATTTTGCCCCTTAACATACTCTTAAACATGAAACAAATGCAACGAGTACTGTGTAGTGTTGATGCTGCTGTGGCACCAGCATTGGCGGCTCTAACTGCAAGGGGCCCCCCATTGCGAGGGGCCCCAAGGGCTTGGCAGGCCACGGCTGGCAGAAGAATAGCATGTGAGGTAACTTCGCTGTGAAACAAAAAATGTATGCACTTTATTGTGAACCTTTGCACTATGCAAAGCTCCCTCAGGTTGAGATTTACGCAGAGTGCAGAAACGGTGGCGGCACTCTTCCTCGTGGACTGCATTCGTGTTTGTATCATGTTCTCCCAGAAGCTGATGTAAAATAGAGGGAGAGACAAAAGGAACAGAGACCATGTACTGAAGGCCAAATGAGTGTCTAACAATTGCCCGCAGCGCCAACACCTGCATCCCAAGTAGACTTGGTTCGCCTGCGCCCAGTGTAGCCTTGCAACAAAAGTTGCAGCGAGGTGCTCTATAGCCCATAGAAGGCAGCTTCCTCTCCGAATCAGCATCAATTCCCGCGGCAGTTTGTGCCTGGCTCGCCAGGGAGCCGTACGGGAGGTGCATAGCTGTTGTTTGAGTGCCTCACCTTCACTTCTTTGAATAGAACAGTTCACGACAGTCCTCAGCTAAGGCTAATGCCCGTCGCTTCAGTGTCCGTCCACAGGCATTCCAACCCCCGCCATCCCAACTAGGTACGCCAGAGCAAGAGGGGCATCATCTGCCCAGTGGGCCGTTAACGGCACTAGATAGCATTAGCTGTTCCCACCGTGCCTGCTCATAACCTTCCTTGAGGATATGCATCTAGGGTTTGGAGTATAGAGATTGCAAATGGCCACAGAAGTGGGGCGCTTTCACCCCTCTTCTTCCGTGGCCTTTGCCTTGCTGAGCTACTGCGTGCAAATTGAGTGCAAGTGCCCCTGCATCTGCACGGGAGTGCTCGCTTTTTTTGGTCAAGTGCTTTATCTTACTCTCCTTGCTACTCCCTGTACGCGCAGGGCAAGTTCCTGTGCATGCATGCCCTGCAAGGCTGTCCATATGTGCGCGTAATTGCAGGATTACATACAACCACACAGCTGCACTGGAACGCATACGAGAACCGGATTCAACCAGTTCGGCACAACACTTGTTGCACAGACCAACAATCAGGCTGTATGTATGTATGTACCAGACTGTAATCCATACGCAAGCGTGCCGATGCCCTATCCTGCGCCATTCGCATGCATCCATGTAAGGGCTAGATAAACGTGTGCGTAAAGGCATGTATACATCTTTGCGAATACGCAGGTGTCTATACGATTTCTAGAGATAAGTGTGCAGCTCCACACGAATCTTTTGCCTGTGTCGGATTTCCTACCCCAAACACAATTTTATATTTATGCACAAATTGGCACTACATATGCAACTAACTACTACTGCATATGTCAGCATCTCACTCTACGCCTACGCCTAAAAGAACGACACAACCAAAATGCTTTCTTCCACTGTTAAACCGCAGAGGGTACCATAGCATTGCCCCCAAAAGGTACCGTTCAATATGCCGAATTGGGGCCCGTAGCGCAAGCAAGCTTTTCGGCCCTTCAACTAAGCATGCACCCTAAACTTACACATGGAATGACAAGGAAAAAGTCTCCAGCATTTGTCAGGGTCGCCAAAGTATGCCCCTACTGCGAGAGTAGTCCTTAGAAACCCATGTGCATTCACAAATCAAGTACGAACTTGCTGCTGCCGCTGCAATCGAGACTCTGTCACTGCTGGCGCTGGAGAGAAATCCAGCTGCTGCTCCCGCAGGTTCCCATCAAGCAGCAGCTTCAGCAGCAGCAGGTCTCTACATTTCTCGCTTAAACGAGCTATTGCTTTGTTCGTGTTTCTTCCTTTTCTTCCCCTTTTGAGACAGCCGCCCCTGAGTGTTCTGCTGCTGTTGCTGATTCTGTTTCTGTTCTTTTCCTTTAGCCACCCCCGGCGAAGTACGTTCCACGGGGTCGGTCCCCTTCTGAGACAGCTGTCGCTGAGTGTTCGGCTGCTGTTGCTGTTTTTGTTGCTTTCCTTTAGCCGCCCCAGGCGAAGTACGTTCCACTGGGTCGGTCCCCTTCTGAGACAGCTGTCGCTGAGTGTTCGGCTGCTGTTGCTGTTTCCGTTGCTTTCCTTTAATCGCCGCAGGCGACGTAGGTTTCACTTGGTCGGTGTAGTGGCGGGAGATCCCCAAAAGTTGTTCACTGAACCTAGAGGCCCTCTCCCCTTCGACCTGTGCAGAAACAAGCGGGCGTAGAGCAGCACCAGCAAGTCTTGGGGCTCCAGCGGGCCTCACGCTAGAAGAACCCCCAACCCCCAACCCCCTTCCCCTCTCCACCTTACATCGGGTGGTTGATATACGGACCTGGACAGATATCTTCTTCTTTCCGTCAGTTGCTCGCACGAGACAGACGGGGGTCGCTTCAGGCCGCTCCTCGCAACTGTGCAGCTTACGCCGCCGTTTGACCCCGCGAGAACCACCGACCTCGGGAAATGCTGCACAAATTCGCAAAGGTTTACAGGAACTCTTTGGGTGGGTTTCAAGTTTCGTGAATAAACTCTTCCCAAGTCCACAGACCAGCTATCAAAGCGGCTGCAGCTACACACCCCACGCGGTTCACTCATTAGCACTGCACACGAGGCAGCTGCATGCTTCAAGACCCTCATCTAAAACCTGCCTGCGAAGTGAAGGCTAACACACAGCGTGTTCCCCTGGTGTTGGCTGCACTTCTATGCTGAAACATAAATAGAAAAGAACCCTAGTGTAGGCACTACATCCAGCCCAGTTTCAGTTCATGCCCCCGTACTCCTCTTGAAAGTGATCCACACAGATCCGCTGTTCTTGCTCCTATTGTTCTCGTAGAGGCGCCGCAGCGCCTCAAGAAATTCGGCTTCTCCAAGAAGTCCCATCACCTTGATTGTTACTCTATTTCATCTGCAGCTACTGTTGCTCCTGTCGCAGCTGCTCGTGAAGGCGATGGTGCCGCGGCGGCTGCGGCTGCCCAACCTGGGAGTTCGTTTAGCAGAATAACCTTAGGACAATAAATGAAAGAGAAAGTCAGAAAAACGGGAGGACAGCGAAGCGAAAATAGACAACAAAGCAGAACCCGTGCGCATGCACAGCAGCTGATGCCACTGCTACTTCCGCTGCTCCCCTGTGGCATGGTGTAGTGCACAGGCACTACAGTGTGGCTCAGGTGTGACCTCTAGCGGCTTTAGTATTGTAAAGAGAATAAATATTAAATATATTAGGGATTAGGGCATTATTATCTAGGAAGAGGAACTAATACTACTAAATGGTCTAAGAATTGGATACCATAGAGAGTCGTAGCTTAGTAGGGTTAGTGAGCCACATATATCCACGCCTGGCGTGTAGTGCAGTGCTTAGTCACTACTTCGGGTGCCAGATAAGACTTCTAGAGATCTGATAAATGGAAGAGAAATCAAAAAGTATTATGTCCGTGAATATGGCATTTTTATGTGGATAGCCGCATTATAGATCTGGCACTTGACTGTGTTGTCGCTGCTTTAATATTTTCCCGTTATTTTATTAGGTCGGCACTGACCTCCAGTGAAGACCGGGGGTCGGTACTGGTTATTTTTGCCGGTCATTCGTATTATTCTGGGAGCTTCCTTCGATATTATAGAGACTCGAACTGATTTGGAATTCTAAGTGTTGACATATGGGAAATTGGGTAGTGGGGAAGCCACACACTACGAGACGATAAGTAGGCACAGCGTAGGACGGCTGCGCTCTACACATGGCGCGCCGGACCAAGTTGTTGATATTCGTGGTTTCGCATTAAATTGGAAGTACTGGGCTTTTAATTGGTTTGGGCGTCTTTGATCTGTAAATGGAATCTGCACAAGAATGTGGATGCACCAGCATTGGATGTCTTACTTGGCAATCGTACGTACGATGGGCGGTAATGTCGTTTATTGTATTTTTACACTGACCGTTATAGTAACCGGCGAAAGTTATATCCAATTAAGAGTTTATGATGCACAGTAGAGGGTGTGGGCTTCCAAGAAGTATTCCTTGCTGCATCAGCACGATACTTCTAGCACAGGATGTCTGACGTTGACAAGAATGTCAGAAGTTGGTGGGTGAATGCTTATTCGGCCTTAGTGGGCATCCAGAACACATGCAAAAGCTTTCAACATGTGCCTACAGTTAATATATGCAACAGTTCATGCGCATGCTATCATATGTTGTATCTAGCTTCAGCAAGGCATCTGCAACTGTTGGTTGTTGGTGTTCTCTTCCGCAGCTCCATGCGCTTGGGCCGGTGTGGCCAGTATTTTCGGAGGCTGGTGAGGAATATCAGTGCTTCTAAGGAACCATGCAGTTTGACTCAAACTCAGCTAGTAGCGGTTCTTGGATGAGAAGGGCGACCTGACTCTGTAGTTGATTGTCCAAGGTTGGTGGCAACGCGCATAATTGATGAGCAAGCTGGCTCACTAAGGCCAACAAAGTTAGTGCTTAAGTCGTTTTGATAGGTCCTGCAGGGTGTAGAGTGGCAAATGCAGCACAATCATACGGTTGGTGCCTTGGCGTTGAAGGCCTGCCTCCATGTGGCACGAGGCGGTCTTGTTATGCTCGATATTTACTTGTCCTATACGTTCTTTCCGCAAAGCGCTACCTAGCCTCAATATCCCCTCCGTTATGGTTCATTTAGTCACTTTCCAATCACTGCTGGTGAAGAATCGGACTGCTGCGTTTACTGCAAGTAAACCCGGAACGACTGACGCGCAGCTATAAGGTGAACCTATCCGAAACAGGTTAAATGCCTTCAGAGCATCTGAATAATGGCAAATCCTCTACCAAATCCGTTGGTACCTGCTCTCAGACCTGTGTGGAATCAGAGTACCTTGCAGGACTTCGCATTTCAAAGAGTCCTGCTCCCAGTGATGGTTTTGTCGGAGCAACGTGGCTGAGGAGATCTGGGCTGTAAATAAGGATGTCATCTAGGTAAGCGATGGCAGCTTGTCCCAATAATGGTTGTAGGTATGCATTAATATTTGCTTGAAAAGTAGCTGGCGCACCCTGAAAACCAAAAGTCATAACCTTGTACTCGAATAACCCTAATACCGAGCGGAAAGGCTGTTTTCCAACTGTCTTCCATAGCCACATGGATTTAGTGGAAACCGGATTCCAGGTCCAAGGTGGAGAAGAATTTTGCCCCCAGTAGAATTTCAAGTGTAGTTAAAATGGTGGGAAGCAGAAAATCAGGGGCAATAGTGAGTTCATTCATCTCCCGGTAGTTAACGACCATCCCCATCGTGCGTTCACCCGTCCCCTCGTCACGCTTGTCGCCCACAATCGTGGGGGCACAGATGGGGGAGTTGGTAGGGCCGATCCATCAGTTGGCAGATAATCTGGCGATTTCCTGTTTATGTGTTTGGAGCTGTTCGCTGGGCATGCGATATATTGTGGATTTAGAGGGCAACTTCCCAGGCACTAGAAGGGTCCTGTGATCATATGGGCGCCTCGGTGGCAGTCCTGAAGGATCTTTATCAGGGAATACCGCACGATATTCCCGCAGCACGTCTAGAATCAGACGTGGAGTTGAGCTTGCGGCCTCTGACTCTAACCACTTGTCAAGGTGGGTGGGCTCCAAGGAGGCTGTTGGCCAAGGGGATTCTTCTACATCATCCGTCAGCACAGTAGTTGCCGGGGCCTCTGGATCTGCCTGATCGATAGAGGCCGGGGAAGTCCCGAACAAAGCATAACCCAATGCCCCATGTCCCTCATTCGAGAATCTCTGGGCCGCTGGAAGAGCAAGTTCGTTAAGTAATCTATATGGCGGGTGTAAAATGCCTGCTGTATTCTCTTTAGCTTGTTATAGTAATGCACCCTTATTCACTTTCTTCCTTGTCCGAGGGGGCGATTTGTACATCTGGGGAGGTGGATGTAGGAGTGCCCTCGCCTCATCCATTGGCATATCGGCTACCTGGCAACGATATCATATGCCTGCTCTGCAGGGGACGCGCTACTGCAGTGCTATCTTTCCTTGGTCTTTTCTCATTGATAAGGACTAGAGATAGTTCGCACCATCGACCATCTACATATGCACGTAATTTATCCGAGTCAAAGGACCATGCCACCTTATGTTCCGTCAACCAATCAAGTCTCATTACTTAGTCGTATGGTACGGGCCCTACCACAAAGTCTCCGCATAGCCGCACATCCCCACACCACGTTGTTAATCCCTTTACAACTCGATCAATCGGTAATTGTTCACCGTTAGCCAATGTGAAGATGCTCTCCTCTCCCAGCCGTCATACTCTTACCTGTAGACGTTCCACAGTCCTTGAGTTGATAAAATTCCTTGTTGCCCCTGAATCTAATGGCTGTCTCGCATGCATTTCCTGCCACCTTGACCCCCAAAGTGGCAACAGTTCCTGCATTACACAATCTTCCTCTAACACTGGAGTCGGCCCCGTTGCCCTTCCACCAATGTAACTATCGTGCGCATCCTGCATCCTTCTCGTCTGCTATTGCTCGTGGCTCTCCACTGAGCTTATGTATGCTTATCCTCTGGTTGCGGTACAATCCCTGAATTAAGCCGCTCTGATAATCTCTGCTGGGATCTCTCTACTACCTGCCCCATCGTTCTCGTTTGCTCATCCTTTAGAAGCAAGTTCTTATCCCAATCTGGGGAGACTATTATGTTTGTTGGCCCCGTCACCACTGCGCACAAAGCCCCCTTACCATTAGAATATCGCCTAGTACGTTCGTCTCCCTGGACGACTACGCTCGATCATTTAAACGCCCCTCGCTTTCGATGCTAAAATCGTGCTTGCCTCTGCTCGGGCCTCTACAGGCCCGGCTCTCATAGTCCCCTGAGAAGGGCAGCCCCGGGCATAGTGCCCTACACCCCCATGTTTCGGATACGTCTCCCCTGTACGACGTGAAGGCTTCTGGTGGGAGGGGCATTACGAGGCCACGTGCCCCTTGCCCCTGCACTCGAAACCAACATATTCCCTTGATACTCGCCTCTCCAGTGGATCTCCTCTCAACACTATTTCGTGGCTCCCTATGGGACCCACCTCGAACGGTCCGATGGGTGTCCTCCAAATACCGCCTGGTTTGTCTTAAATGTGTCAGTGTCAGTTACATGCAGTGTAAGTTACAAATATGAGATGGCCCTCATTTGTCACCTTCAGGACGATGTCGTCAGGCAGATTTGCTTGTGATTATCCCGTGGCAAGGGTTCTGGGGCCCTGACACAGTACCGCTGAGAAGTCGGAGGCATATTATCGTTTCACGTATATATGAAGTCAGATGGCAGGGAAGTGCAGTATAGTGTTTCTTCTCGTGGGATACCGCAGAATCTAGTTATCATAGAACGTTTGAGAGCTTCCCAATTCCTAATAATTTCCCGGGTATCCCATAGGTAGAATGCACCCCTGGTCAAATTCGCACGCAGTTCTTGTCCCCAGTTTTCCGGAGGTAATCCGGCCTCGTAAAACAACATCTCTAAAGGAAGCACATCATATTCTTTCCATCCTCATTTTGAACGTGGAAGGTAGCTGACCTAATGTAAGCCGGCGGAGGGTTTAACGACTCCAGGTGGTCATCTAATGAAGTCCCCCATGGAATTCTCGTGCCGGAGTTGGACCCCATTGTCCTTACTACACGGTGTGCTCCCCGTATATCAGTACAATTATAAACTGTCTCCTCTCGCCTCCACCCCTGGCTCTTATTCTCTTATTCTGCGGCTGATCCCCAATAAACATTTCGCTATAGAATGGCGGGGAAAGTGCAATCAACGTTTAGGTCACTGGGTTGGAATTTTATATGTAACTTTCCCGAACAGCCCCCAAATGTAGCGCGCAGCTGTCCTAAGCTGTACCTACTTATCACCCGGTAATGTCTGGCTTCCTAACTACATCCTCTAACTACCCATATTCCCAGAAGTCAACAATGAAATTTCCAAAACATGCTCGAGTCACTATTATAAACGAGGGAAGATCCCAGAATAATAAAAATGACTGACAAAAATAATCAAAACTGACCCCCAGTCTTAACTGGGGATCAGTCCCCGACCTATAAAGTAGCGGGGAAATAATAAAGCAGCGACAACACAGTCAGGTGCCAGACCTATAATGCTGCTATCCCTGTGAAAATTCCATATTCACTGAAATAATACTTTTTTATGTCTTTTCCATTTATCAGATCTCTAGAAGTCATATCTGGGTACCCAAATATTGCCTAAGCACTGCCCTACACGGCAGGCGTGGATAGCAGGCTCACTAATACTACTAATCTATGACTCTATCTAATGGTATCCTATTCCCAGAACATTTAGTAGTATTAATTCCTTTTCCTAGCTAATAATGCCCTAATCCCTAAAATATTTAATTTTTATTCCCTTTACAATCCTAAAGCCGCTAGAGGTAACACCTGAGACACACTGTAGTGCCTGTGCACTACAGTTTGGCCATGGGAGCTGTTTTTATCCTTGTGTTCCTTTTGAATTGGTGGGGGGCCGGTGGAATTTCGCAACTCTGGGGCCCCCGGGGATCGCCGGGAACAATAGATAGCAAAGGCGAGGCAGGTACACCTCATGCTTTGTCGCACCTCTGTTCGTGCGGTTGTTGCGGCTGGCAGCGTTCCTGCCGGTGTGTTCACGTTACTGTACCTGCTACTTGCGTCGCTTGTGTTACATGCATTATACGTTGCTGATGGTGCATGTATTTGAGCAGAAGTCGTCAAGCTGTTGAGCGTGGAAGACCTCCAGGACATCATAGGCAGCACCGGCCCCAGCAGCTGCACCAGCAGTAGCGATAAAATCGAAGATAAGGAGGCTGCCGTGTTGCTGTTCGCCTCCTGGGACCCAAGCAGCACGTAAGCCCAGACCCTGATTCTTCAGAACTCATGCAGCCATGGCATACAAGGGCCTAGAGCAGAACGGGGTTTCAGGAATGTGGTGCTCATAGTTCTGCGTTTGCTGCTGCAGACTTCTCCTTCAAACGTGGCTTCAGGCGGCCTCTTCCTTCCGTCAAAGTCAGCGGGGGTCTCTGTCTCTGTTCTCCCTTTCCGTGTCTTTATTCGGGAGAAGGGGCAAGGCGCCACGGGAAGAGCTATTTACAGCAGCATTTGACTGCGCTCAGCAGCAGCAACCGCAGCAGGAAGATTCTAGAGCCCTGTGCCGTGGCCTCGGTGTGACTGCTTTGCCCGCCCTTCTCTACTTTACTCCGCAGCCAATAGGCGCAAAACACCAGCAACAGCACAAACACAAGCGCTTGGGTTTCTTCGACGATGAAGAAGATGTGCTACTGCATCCCCGGGCGACGAGGTAGGCTGTATACTATTGCCTAATCGGCTGCTGCAGTTTGTGCCCCCGCTATTCTTCAGCGAGACCTGTTGGGGTTACAGTCTCCTGGCGGGGACGTTGCAGGTGCTTCCAACGATTTGCTGCTGTGGCTGCCTACCCCACTTGTGATGCTGCTGCTCCATCATTGTGGCAACAGCAGCCATAGAAAAGCAAACCGGAGTACACCTAAACCGACAAAACAAAACCCCTACTGTTGTCCCGCAGGTACAAAGGAGACCTCCTCATGAGAGAAGCCATCGTAGACTGGTTGAAGCTGCTGCGGTGCATTTCGCTCATGCAGAGGCTAACCAGCAGCAAGGATAGCAGCAGCTGCTGCATTAAGTCGCATCAGCTACAGCAGAAGCTACAGGAGCAGCAGCAGGTCATTAAGGAACAGCAGCAGCAGCTTCTGCAGCAGAGTATGGAACTGGACCAGCTGCGCAAACAGTTGCGGCAGCCGTAGTGTTCGCATCAGCTGGTAATGTTTTCGTTGCTCCTGCTTTTGTAGCTGGAGTCACAAATTTGGGCGGCGGCGGAGTCCGCACTCCTTAAGCCCGGTTGTCCGCCAGATGAGTATTACTGCAGTACTTACTGCAGTCACCTGGGGCAGCTTCTTCAAACCACCACTGCACTGCATTAATGCTTCAATGCCTGCAGCAGCATAAACAGCAGCTGCTACTACTGCTGTAGCAAGGTCTAAAGCGCCACTTCCTCCTTCCAAACGATGTGCAGGAGACGAAGTTTGTATCAATGACAAGCCCCTTCGTCGTGCTGGTCATCCCCTCCTGGCGTTGCTGAAACATTAGCAGAAGAGGTGCCTCTTCAGCAGCAGCTAGTGCCACTGCAGCAATAAACCATATAAACTGCTTCTTCCACTTCACTCCTCATAGGCAGCTGCTGCCTATGCTGTCGACGGAGACATCCAGCTGTCACCCACGGCGCGGCTGCTGCCGGTGCTGCTCCTTGCAGCTACAGCAGCGCTAGCGGTTGCTACCGCTGATGCTTCTGGCTGGCCTTACGACCAGCAACAGTTTCTGGTGACGTTTTTGCATCTTTGCCACTGCGATCCTTCCTGCAATAGCGGGTGCTGCGGTGTGGCAGCCTGTCACGAAACTCGAGTGCTTGGAAGGCTGGTCGAACATGTAAAAGATCCCATGGGTCGCAGCAGCAGCCTCTGCTGGGCAAATAGCCACTAGTCGTCGTGTTGCCACTGTTGCTGCTTTTCTGATTGTTCCACTATATAAAAGCAAAGGTGTACTGCCCTGCCCCCGTGCTGAAGTCCCGGTCGTCGCTGGCAGGTGCGTACCTGCAGATGTGCTGTTGCAAGGTTTGCTCCCTCGCTGGAACGACACGGTTTATATATATGGTCGCTAAACCGGTGATTTCGCAGCTAAGCTATGTTCGCCGTTTCGTTGGTAACAGCAAGCGGTCCCTTGCCACTGCTACCGCCGACAAACTCCCGACTGCTGCTGCTTGTGCTGTTGCAAGGAGATATGATGCAAGCTCCCTCGAACTCCTTCCCTGCTACAGAAAGATGCTGTTGTAAGTCTTCAGCCGTTTGCATGGCCCCAATGGAACTCTTCGTCTCGTCTTCGTGTGCTACTGCTTTACCTGCTGAGAAAGGACCAGCGGCAGGTGGTGCTCCATCTTGCTGCAACACTACGGGTGTACCGACCAGCTCCTCAGCGGCACTAGTAGCAATGCGTTTCCCGTCCCTTAGCGACTTGCGGATTTTGAATGAGGCAAGAATAATCGCAGAAAAGACAATCAGACTGGCCCCGCACAGAGAGGCCACATTGAAACCTTCACCGATTACCAGCTGCGCAGGCAGACGCATTCAGTCGAGAAGATATAAACGCAGCACAAGCGCGCAGGCAATACCTTTCGGAAAATAGCTCAAAGGCATCGGGTTTGCATACAAGCTACCTGAAGCGGCACATAGGAACGTCTAAGCAATAAGGGCTCGAGATTTAGGATTTTGGTAAGGTCGCCTTTACCAGCCTTTCGGGACAATCGGAGCATGGCTGCATTCGAGCTCACTTGGAAGGTGTAACTGAAAACAGCATCCAGGTTCTGGACTATAGCAATGGTCGCGGCGGACTCTGACTCCAGCGCTGTAATGAGACAAAGCTGAGCCCCCAGTCCCAAAATAGGCAGCACTGCAGAAATCAAACAGACCACAGTAAATTGAGAGGCATGCACCCACGTTACATGCCTATGAACCACTAAGCAGAACATGCCTCTGCAGTGCTCCCCTACTAACCATGGTGTACTACTGCGAACGTCCTATAATTCCGGAAAGGACGTCACAGGACATACAGGTCAGCAGAATCCACTGAACTGGCTGGAGGTGCTCGAAAAAGCACATCTGGAAAGGGGATATGATGAGCACGAGAGGCAAAAAAGAGACAAGACCGAAAAACATCATCAGCAAAATCGAAAGAATTGGAGGGCCCCGTTTGGCTACGTGCCTTCCCAGCACAAACGAAACGCCATCTGCAGGCAACAGATACCGTAATGCCCAAACATCGGTGCTTTCAACCCCTAATTCTGCATTTTATGGCATTAACACGGCATCCTCACGAGCCCTTCCCGCACGAACGCACCCTCACTGCGAGCGTGCAACCCAAACAAATGGGGCATTTAAGGCTAAAATAATCCCGCTTTCTGATTCGAACTGAATCGCTTCGTGCGGAGGGTTTCCCGAGAAGGGAGTGGGGAATAGGGTTTTGGGTTTACGCAGAAAAGCGCCAACCACGAGAATAATAAACGCGCCGCCCTTGGTCAGGTCGTCAATAATCGCAACTTCGCTCCCCGAATTCTCCGCGGGGGTTGCTGCGGGCAAAGTCAAAAATTAAAGCTTCAACCTCTACACCAAACGACTGCTAGAAGCAGATCCTGCATGATCTTTAGCTGCTTAAAAAGTTATTGATATTCAAGGTCAAACGCAAAGACGAAATATACATCTCAGAACGACGGTTTAGAGTCTTACTGCCGCCTCCAAGCGCCTCGTTCATGCTCCCTGGCTTTGCAATGAGAAGGATACCCACAGAGCAAAGCAAAACCATTGTCCACAGCCTGCACCACACCACCAGAAGCAGCAGAAGCGATGACAGCAGACGCAGTACTACAGGAAGTAGCAAGCTCCCTCGACCAATGGTGCCGCAGCCGGAGAAATACAATCGCCAGCAACAGCTGTAGCGCCAGCACTAACACCAGAAGAAGCATCACAAGCAGGAACACCAGCACCATCGGCGTCCCGGCCCTCCGTCTGTCAGGCCCTCCTACACTAGCAATACCAGCATAGCTAACAACGAGAAAGCTTGCACTAGCATTGCCTGAACCAGCAGCAAAGGCTAGTTACCACCCCAGTCCCTCTTTCTGGATCAGCGCCCCAAGGAAAGCAGCCCAAATTGTCGCCGACAAGCCAACCGCCGCTGCGTCTCCCAAAGGTAGCCGCGAGAGAGCAATATAATACAGTGCTGAAGCAAAGGAATGCAAATGTTAGACAGAGTATAAGCAGCAGATGCAGCAGCAAGTGGTGCAACTTTTACTGTTCCTCGCATGTACCACAAGCAGTAGGCGCAACAGAAACGAACAAACCAACCTCCCCAAACAACGGGAACACCAGCAGCAACAATAGCAGTAAAAACAGCAGCAGAAATGCCAGCAGCAACATCAAAAGCAACACACCGTGGCACAGGACGGCTATGACCCCCCTAGCGTAGAGATACTTGGCTAGAGGATTCCTTGGGTTTAAATATTTAAAAGGCCTTGTTTTCAAGCAGTGGCAAAGGCCGACACAAAGGACAGACTGTACTATGAAGCGAAAGAGCAGCAGCTGAGAAGGCAAGGACAGCAACAGCTGCAAAAGCTCAAAGATTATTCATGAGTGGTCGGGATTTACAGCTGCAGGCCTACAGTCCAGGTTTGCAGTTAAAGTCTTAGGTATAGGGCTTCAGGGTTTAGGTTTACGTTTAGTATCGGCATGCCAGCGGAACAGACAATCTTGGTAAGCACCCCAACGCAGGAGTAGAGAAGTGCACCAACAGATGAAAAAAGGATACCCCGAGATGCCGCAAAGCAGAGCGAAAAACGCTCCCTCTGAGCAGCGGAGAGAGGAGAGGCCCTCATCAGCAAGGCAGAAACCATCTTTGGGAAGGGGGCTGACACACGATAGCGCAAAATCATGTATGTTAGTAAATAATCCGTACGTACACACAAATTCATGAACACATAACTCTCCATATATACACACAGTCTAAATACACTGCCCATGCACATTTCCGGTCTATAGGCTTTTAGGCATGTGAACGCTCCTAAGCACGAAATACGTATAGACAGGAAGGCAAATATGCGGACGGGGTGAAGAAGCCGAACGTGGCCATACAGAAAAACATGAACGTAAAGAAAAGGGTTGAGGTGTAGATAAGCACTGCGATAACAAAAATAAGCCACGATGACCACTGACACTTCCAAATATTATGAACACCGAGGTCCAGTTGCGTGGCTTCTGTTCTTTGCTGCAACGGGGTACAGTGAGCGTATGCAAGCATGTGAATGTTAACACATTGTAGAGAAGCACGTGTGGACACTGAAGCCAAGATGACGGCGTGGATTTCAAGAACCATTCCTACAAACGAGGCCTCAGACAGAAACAGCAACGCATTAACAGGAACTCGAAGAAAAGCACGGGCAAGTCCGTGAAAGGACCTGGACGCGAGTCAGAACACAGAAGTAAACATGCCACAGAAGCCACAAAGACGCTGCAACGCACACTAACGGTGAACAAGCACAAACAGTATGGAAGTGGCTGTAACGCGGGCTACGGGGAAACTGATAAACACGGGCGTACACAGAAAAACGAAAATACAATGAACGTGCACAACTGCAAAATGTACATGGATGTCAGCGAACAAAAATACACACATCATGAGAAACATCAGAAAAAGAATGGAGACGCACACAGACGTCCAACACGGCCAGGGGCATCAGTGTGAGGCGAACGAACCATACTGGCGAACCCGTCAACCTACAGTTAAAAAGGGAAGCAAGAGCAATCACCGAAGGTCGTCGACCCGAGATCTACTCCCACCATAGAGTCGTCAAGCAACCCGATCGAAAAAGGGAACAGCTCCAGGGGTCCAAGCCCTCTTCGCTTCCGTCGTGGGCTCGAGTACAGTGGATAATATGTGGCAACGGCGCTGGCGAATGGTGGGAAACCAGGTGAACGATAAACGAACGTGAGGACTGAGACAAAACACTGAAGAAGATGGAGACATACCGCTGAGTTTAGGCCTGCTGAAGACTGCAACACAGACAACAATGATGCTGTGAATGGTCAGGCATCTCATCAACTGTGGCCAAGGCGGCAGCGCGGCGAGAGACGCACAAATGATAGGGCGGACGGAATAACATACCACTCTAAAAAGCCAACGCACTGGACATAACTGCTTCAACATACAGACGAGCTCCAGCACCTGCCTGCGCTCTTTACCAGCTGCAAGCCCACCACTCTCGGCCCTAAATTCGAAAATCCAAGGAACTTGATGGTGTGTCTAATGAGACAGTGACAACAGGGGAAGAACCTCCAGCCTCGTCCAAAACTGGTAGCCTAGTTCAGTTCAACTTGAGAAGCCACTCGTTAACAACCCCAAATACTGCGCCCGAAAACCGGTCGCAGTCAACTCTGCCCGCATCCAGAGAACGCGACGCCCCGATCTCGGAGGGCGTGTACAGCGGTACAGTGTAGACCTTTGTATCATAACCTGGCTTAAAAGCAAAAGAAATACTCTCGAATCCGTGGTTCAGGGTTTATGGTTTATGTTCTACGCTATACTGGTTACTAGCAGACCAGCGGAATGGGGGAGGCTCAGTTGAGCGATCACCATCGCGGAAGGATAGACAGAAAAACAAGCAGCATATCCTTCTTCCCGCATATATGTTTGGGTGGAGTTTGGAGTTTAGTGTCCACCATTCGGGAGACCACAGCCTTGGGGTGCTGCTGCTGCTGCTGCTGCTGCTGCTTCTGCTCCGCGGCTGGCTCATGCCCGGCAGAGGCGTCGGCAGTGTCTGCCCGTTCATTGGTCTTCCTTGGTATTAAGCCTTCCCTTCCAATTACGAATGTATTAAACTTAATTACAGTGCCTCCCAGGCGTTAACACAGAATCTGTGAGCATTCATAAAGATGAATGAGGGATGGAATGAATGGCCCACAGCTTGCCAGTAGCAAGCCCGACTAACCAGCAAACCCGTACAGGCTTTCACTGCAACGGACTAGGCATACAGTAGTCTCTGACTGTGGAAAACCCAGCCCTCATCCTTAAATCGCTGGTAGGAACGCAGGGGACGATAGAGGAAATCAAGGGGAAGGGTCACCCTAACTGCTACGAACCTCCCCCAGCGTGGACCGAAAACCCCTAAACCCCACGAGGGAGACCATCCTATAGAGTCTAGGTGACCTTGGACGAGCACCTTTTACGATTTTTCTGTTGGCAGCCTTGTGCTGGGTATGATGCGGGACTCTGGACGGCACACCAATTTAGCATGGTCTCTGGGGGGTAAGTGGATTTTTGTACTAAGGGCCAACTGAGCATTTGAAAGTTGTCGTCTATTGGAGAACTCATAGAAACATAGTTTGGGCATCCTTAGTCGTGCTCTATGAGTATAGTAGCCCAAATATATGGTCACCACCGTCTCCCACCCTTAGCATCTAAGGAGAGGCGTCTCCACTACTTATCTACCAACCTACCTCCGTGGCATAGCACCTCAGGCCCTACGCCGGTCTGCGCAAGACAACTGAAGACAGAGCGGGTGAGTAGGTACTTTTTGATGAACCACCTCTCCAAAAACTGGATGCCACTGCAACTCACAACTCCATCGACACTCACGCACAAGGGCGCGAGGCAGGTGAGTTCAGCAAGAGCCACTATACAAGGGGAACTTACTTAGAGGGCAGCCTAATCAATTCATAGAGAATGTCCGGTGGCAAAATCAATTTCAGAATGTGGTCAAAGACCTACCGTGGCTATCGGCATCTTCGTTTTGCCACAGGGGGAACGACAATGGTGGATACATATCTGTCAGTGTATCACTTGCCCGTGCTGCGGACTAGTTTAAACAGGCAATGCAACGCACGCCTATCAACATCTTGGTAAGCGATCAGTCTACTGCAAACTTAAGAGAAGCGAAGCATGGCAAGCTACCGATAAAGCACTGCACAACGAGGTGCCACAGGAATTGAATGGCGCAGTCGGAGCTTTTTGAACAGCGACTCATAAAAGGGAAATTCCCATTCTGTAAACCGAAAGGCTGCTGGGAGGGAACTAGAACGCTGGTGTTCGCCAACGTGTTGGAGCTGTTCGGTACCAAAAAACGAAAAAGCCCCAACGCCCGCAGCTCTCGTTGGCAAGAGGAAAAGTGGCAATAAGATTTTCCTTGATGCAGACTCTACGATTAATGGGGCTGTTTCTGGTAGCCCCTCGCGGGCAAAGGAAAACACGGAAGACAAAACGCAGCCTATCATATATATATATATATTATATATAT